TACCCTGTGTCTTTTGATTAGAGCGTTTAGTCCATTGATGTTTAGAGTGAGTACTGAAAGATACAAATTTATTGCTGTTATGTCACCTGTAGAGTTGGAGTTTCTGGTGTTGTTCTCTGGTCCTTTCTGGTCTTTGTTGCTTTTGGTCTTTTTTTTTTTTTTTTTTGTCTTTTCTTCCCTCAGAGAGTCCCCCTTAAAGTTTCTTGCAGGGCTGGTTGAGTGGTAACTTCATATCCTTTAATTTTGTTTTGTCTGGCTCTTTTTTTTTTTGTTTATTATTTGAAATTATTTGTCAATGTGGTTTCCATAACGCACCGGCTCATCCCAGGGTGCCCTCCTCAATACCCATCACCCACCCTCTCCTCCTCCCTCCCACCCACAATAGCCTTTAGTTTGTTCTCAGTTCTTTCACAGTCTCTTATGTTTGGACCTCTCCCACTCCAAACCTCTTTTTTTTTTTTCTTCCCCTCCCCCCATGGGTTCCTGTTAAGTTTCTCAGGATCACATAAGAGTGAAACTCACTTGGTAACATCTGTTCTTCTCTGTTGGCTTATTCATTAGCATCCTTCCTCTCAGTCCCATCACGTTGCTACAAAGGCCATATTTCATTTTTCTCATTGCCTTACCACGTAGTATTCCATTGATACATAAACCACAATTTCTTTATCCATTCATCAGTTGATGGACATTTAGGCTCTTTCCATAATTTGGCTATTGTTGAGAGTGCTGCTATGAACATTGGGGTACAAGATGCCATCCTAATCAGAAACTCCTATGTCCTTGAGATAAATTCTAGCATGATTGCTGGTTATAGGGTAGGTCTATTTTAAATTTTGAGAACCTCACACTGCTTTCCAGAGCGGCTGCACCAATTTGCATTCCCACCAACAGTGCAAGAGGGTTCTCTGGGAAACTCTTTAAGTCTCCTTCTATTTTGTATGACAGCCTTGCTGTATAAAGAATTCTTGGCTGCATGTTTTTCCGATTCAGCACATTGAATATATCCTGCCACTCCTTTCTGGCCTGCCAAGTTTCTGTGGATAGGTCTGCTGCAGACCTGATCTATCTTCCCTTATAGGTTAAGGACTTCTTTCCCTTGCTGCTTTCAGGATTCTTTCCTTGCCTGAGTATTTTGTGAATTTGACTATAATATGCTTTGTTGATGGCTGGTTTTGTTGAATCTAATGGGCATTCTCTGCTTTCTGGATTTTGATGTCTTGTGTTTCCCAGGTTAGGAAAGTTTTCCACTATGATTTGCTCACATAAACCCTCTACTCCTTTTTCTCCCTCCTCATCTTCTAGGACCCCTGTGATTCTGATGTTATTCCTTTTTAATGAGTCACCGAGTTCTCTCTTTCTTATATCATGCTCTTTTGCCTTAGTGTGCCTCTTTTTTTCTGCTTCATTATTCTCCATAAGTTTGTCCTCTCTATCGTGGATACGTTGCTCTGTTTCTTCCATCTTTGCTGCTGTGGCACCCATTGGAGATTGCAGCTCAATAGTAGCATTTTTTATTTCATTTTGACTAGCTTTTACTTCTTTTATCTCTGCAGTAAGGGTTTCTAGTCTGTTTTTAACCCCAGCCTGTTTTCTTATTATTGTGATTTTCAATTCTGGTTCAGACATCTTGCTTGTATCTGTGTTGATTAAGTCCCTGGCTGTCATTTCTTCTTGTTCTTTCTTTTGGGATGAATTTCTTCATTTTGTCATTTTGAAGAAAGAAAAGGAATTAATAAAGTACAAAAAAAATTAAACAAGAACAACAAAATCAAATGAAGAATGCTGGGTCGTAGGTGTGTTTTGGTCTCATTGTTGAAAGAAACTTGATAGATTAGAGAAAAGGGAGAAAGAGAAGAAAAGGAAAGAAAGAAAAGAAAAAGGAAAACATTTGAGAAAATGAACGCAATAAAATAGAATAAAATGAAATGGAAGTAAGATAGAATATAAAAAATTTACAAAAAAGTAATATAGTAGAAAAAAATTAAAAATCTTTTTAATAAAAATGGAAAATAAAAATAAATTTTTTCTCTTTCTGTATTCAAGAATAAGAAAAGAAAAAAAATTAAATAGTTGGACTAACAAACAGAGTCAAATATGATTGAAATTACATCCGGTTTCCCCTAGAAGTCAAACTATGAAGCACTTTATAGTCTGCAAACTAAGCAGGCAGAGAGACTTGTGTTCTTCAAGAGTGCGGTTGGCCCATTTGGGCAGGTCTTAGTGTAATGGCTCCATTCTCCACTAGATGGTGCTGCTTAGCTTAGTGGGGTAGATTGTTGTGGGTGTAGGTGTGTAGGGGCATGCATGGGAGGGGTGAAAATGGAGTCACCCAGCTACCCAGTCTCTAGTATCAGAACTCTGTGCTCTTCCCTACTAGCAGTCAAGCACCCCTTCTTTGTCTCTGGCTTCTGTCCATTCTCCATTTCTACACTGTGTGTGACCAAGGCATCTGGCTGCCCGGCGGCACCTCCCTCCTGAGTTTTATCTCAGATGGGGCCGTGTTTCCCAACCCTCATTTCTGTACTTATTCTCTGGGGGAGGGTCTCTCTCAGCAATGGCTGGGTGCTGGCCACCCCCAGGAACTTTCGGGAGACCGTGCCACTGCTGATGCCCAGAGACTGCAGCCAGCCACCAGCCCTTCCCAGAAAAAAGTTTGTGCATTCATGTAGCAGCAGCATTTCAGGGATTACGGCAAATCACGGCACACATCTGGCACCAGGCTTCACCCTCAACATCCTGGCTCTGACACCAGTGAATGTGGCCATTCTCAGGGATCTGCTGGGACCTTTGCCTGTGGGAAGGTCACACTGCCTCTACCAAATGTCCTCCCAGTAGGGGAACCACCTCTCCCTGTGTGGCCCTCGGACCCCTCAGACCTCACACTCTGCCTCCAGGGATTTTCCCCTTCCTACCAGAGCTCCGCCAGATATTGAGCTGTGGAGTTTCAGACTCTGCGCTCCACCTGTTTATAGAGTCTTAATGGAATTTAAACCCTCTCCTTTCTCCCTTTTTTGTTTAGTCCCTGTGGCTGTTTCCACTGTTCCTTTTTCTCTCCAGCTGCTTTCAGGGATGGGTGCTTTTCCTGTATTTCCCCACCCCCCGCCTCACATGCTTCTTCTCCCCAGGCAAAAACAGCTCCCTGTCCTCAGTGGCTTCTTTCTCTCCCAGTTCGCTTCTCCACTCTGGATACCTGCCCAGTTGTGTGGTTCAGGTCATGCAGATTGTTGTATTAGTCCTCAAATCAGTTTTCTAGGTGTGCAAGGTGGTTTAGTGATGATCTGGCTGCATTTCAGGTCCTAGAGACAAAAAAAACCTTCCATGCTGTTCTGCCATCTTGGCCCCTCCTCTTATTATTACCTATTTATTTAAAAAAAATTTTTTTTAATGTTTATTTATTTTTTGAGAGAGAGAGAGAGAGAGAGAGACAGAGTGTGAGCAGGGGAGGGGCAGAGAGAGATGGAGACAGAATCTGAAGCAGGCTCCAGGCTCTGTGCCGTCAGCACAGAGCCTGATGCAGGGCTTGAACTCACAGACCGCAAGATCATGACCTGAGATGAAGTTGGACGCTTAACCAACTGAGCCACCCAGGCACCCCTACCAGTTTATTTTTTTAAAGACTGCAACTTAGTAACAGCCAAATGGAAAGAGACACAAAGGGCAAGGGGTGAAGGTGGGCAGGGAGGGGGATGGTATGCAGAACTTCCATGCCATCTCTGGGTGTTCCCCTCTGCTAGCACCTTGATGTCTTCACCAAACCCTGGTTTAGGGGTTTTTCATGGAAGTTCCATTATGCAGGCATGGCTGATTAAATCACTGGCCATTTATTGGCTATTGGTGATTAAATAAATCTCCAGCACCCTTCCCTTCCTGGAGATTGGGAAGTGCTGCTGAATATTCTAACCCTCTAATCACATCTTTTCCTCTGACTACCAGCTCACATTCTGAAGCTTTGTAAAGGCCTACCAAGAGTCATTTCATTAGCATAAACTCAGATATGAATGAAAGGGACTTATTGGGTAAATAACCAAAGATGCTTCTTTTACCTATATCATTCAGCAAAGAGTTTTAGAAGCTCTTGTGTCAGAAACTTGGAGGAAGACCAAATATTTATTTCTTATTATATCACAATATCACCTTAGGCACTCAATAAAGAATTACTAACTGAATGAATTTATGTCATTGTTTTTGCTGTCCCTTTCTTATGCATAGCTTTTCTTCTTTAGTTTTGATTACTAGGATACTCCTTTCTAAGAGTGTATAAAACATCTTGAGGGGTTTCTGTATGTTTTACTTTTATAAAATTGAATATATTTGGCATATAACATTGTGTACATTTAAAGTATACAAGGTGTTAATTTGGTGTATTTATATATTGTAATATGATTGTCATTCCATTTTTAAACATTCAGAGGGTGTCAGTCTTTCAATTTTTTTTAATGTTTATTCATTTTTGAGAGACAGAGACAGAGCATGAGTGGGGGAGGGACAGAGATAGAGGGAGACACAGAATCTGAAGCAGGCTCCAGACTCTCAGCTGTCAGCACAAAGCCCGACACAGGGCTTGAACCCACAAACCTAGAAATCTTGAGATCATGACCTGAGCCGAAGTCGGACGCTTAACCAACTGAACCACTCAGAGGCCCCAGATGTCGATCTTTCAAATCAAAATGTATGTAAGTTTTACAGAGGTTGAAGGAAATTCTGTAATTACACAAAATTCTTACCACATTATTGGGGCTATTGAACCTTTATCTTCTTTGACCTTGATAAGGATTCCAAAGAAAAAGAATAGTTAGTGTGTGAGCCAGTGATATATATATATAGTAGAATAGATAAAGTGTATTTTTGGCTGAGTGCACTAACAAGATGTATAACATCATTTTACTAAAGTTTACCAGAGTCTTGTTTGGAGATAGAGACAAGATTTGGTAAAGGTGATATGAGCCTCAAATTCCTCAACAACTGAAACCTCTAATGTTGGCTTTATCATTTTCTCCTAGGTGATATACTGTTCTTTTGGTGGAACATCCAAAGGACTGCACTTCAATAACTTAATAGTTGGACTTGTCCTTCTTACAAGAGGCAGAGATGAAGAGAAGGCAAAATGTACGTACTTTAATATCTCAAAATGATAATACTACATTTGTGTGCGGAATAATTTACCTGAAAATTCTGATGACAGTGAAAGCATTTGAGTTGATATTTCTCCAAAGAAGATACACAAGTAGCTAATAAGCACTTGAAAAAATGGTCAATGTAAACTTATTAGGGAAATATATATTAAAGTTACAGTGAGATACTTCTTCATACCTACCAGGATGACTAAAATAAGAAAGATAGGTAATAATTAGAGTTGGTGAACAGTGGAATAGTTGAAACCCTCATATATTGCTGCTGGGAGTGTAAAATGGTACCATCACTTTGGAAGATTGTTAGGTAGTTCCTCAAACTGCTAAACATCGAGTTATCATATGACCCAGCAATTCCACTCCAGTATGTTCACCCCAAAATTGAAAGCATGTATTCATTAAAAAAAAAAAATGTACAAGAGTATTCATGGCAGCACTGTGCACAGTAGTTGCAAGATGGATACAACCCTATTATCCATCAACTGTTGCATTCAACATAAACAAAATGTGAGACCTCCATATGGTAAAATACTTCTCAACAGTAAAAGAATAAAGTACTAATGCTGCAACATGGATGAACCTGAAAATATTATGTTAAAGTGATAAATGCCAGTCAAAGTGTAGGCCACATGGTATGTAATTCCATTTATATGAATTGTCCAGATTAGGCAGAGGCATAGACACAGTAGATTAGTGATTTCCAGAGGCTGGCAGGGAATAGGAAAATGGAGAGCAGCTACTAATGAATGTAGGGTTTCTTTTTGGGGTGAAAGTTTTATTGAAAATTTCCCAGGAGAAGTAAAGAAAACATTTACTTTGAAAATTCCTAGGTTTTAACCCTTGGCCACCAGATGCTGGGTTTTCTCTCTTCCTTCTTCCTTTTCTTTATTTTTTAATTTATTTTTATTGTTTAAATTTACATCCATGTTAGTTAGCATATAGTGCAACAATGATTTCAGGAGTAGATTCCTTAATGCCCCTTACCCATTTAGCCCATCCTTCTCCCACATCCCTCCAGTAACCCTCTGTTTGTTCTCCAGATTTACCTTCTTCCTTTTCTTTTTTTTCTTCTTTTTTTCTTTTTTTTTAACATTTATTTATTTTTGAGAGACAGAGACAGAGCATGAGCGGGGGA